TGATTGTCAAATCATTGTTTTTCCTGTCTGTGATTTGCAGAAAGATGAGCCTAAAGACCAGAACGCCAAGATGATCAAGATCCTTAGTGGGGAGATGGCCATTGAGCTGCACCTGCAGTTCCTAATTCGAAATAACAACACAGATCTAATGATTCTCAAAAACACAAAGGTAATGTAGTTTAGCAATGGGATGAATGACTTGGCAATCAGAAATAAATTAAATACTGTTTGATGAACTGAAGGTTTGCAGAAGTCACTAAATCTGTTATGACAGCTTTCATTTCTTTCCTCTGTTACTCCAGGACGCAGTTCGAAATTCAGTGTGCCACACAGCCACGGTTATAGCCAACTCGTTCATGCACACAGGAACCACAAGTGACCAGTTCCTCAGGTAACTGTGCTGTTAGAATGAAAAACAAAACGCTGCATAGATGGCATAAAGAGATGAAGTAAATAACTTACTCTGAGTGAAGATGACCAACGTTTTTGTTTGTACTTGTAGAGAAAACTTAGAATGGTTAGCAAGAGCCACCAACTGGGCAAAGTTCACAGCCACAGCAAGTCTGGGCGTCATCCACAAGGTAAAGTTGTGCCGCTGCCATAATACGACAAAGCAAAAATCGTTTTATTCTCTTTTAAATATCTATTGAATCTTAACATGAAATGCTGTGTTTTTCAGGGTCATGAGAAAGAGGCACTTCAGCTCATGGCCACTTACTTGCCCAAAGACACTTCTCCTGGCTCTGCCTACCAGGAAGGAGGAGGCCTGTATGCTCTGGGACTGATTCATGCCAACCATGGCGGGGACATCATTGACTACCTGCTCAGTCAACTCAAGAATGCCAGCAATGATGTGAGTACTTTTTAATGTTCAATTTGAATGTTTGCTTTTTATCCTGTAAATATTATATGTCGCTTCAGCAAAAAGTTTGTTGTTAAGATCAGCAGCTAATTTTAGTCAGTGCGTCAGTGAATTCATTTATGTTCTCTGTGATGCTCTCGTTTTACAGATTGTCCGTCATGGTGGTGCCCTTGGCCTGGGTTTGGCTGCATTGGGCACAGCCAGACAAGATGTTTATGACCTACTCAAGTCAAACCTGTACCAGGATGATGCTGTCACTGGTGCGTAGACCCTTGATTTAGTTAATTAAAAGAGGTTTCCTGAGTTTGATGGTGGTTATTCAGTTTGTTCCACTCTGCTCTACTGACTAAAGAGGTTATCACAAAAAAAAATAAAACACAACACACGTATAAGTATTTTTACCTTCTGTTTGCCCTGAGCTTCTCTGATAAACTTTGCTTACTGTTAAAGTAGTGTTGCACAGAAGTGTCACACATCCATGACAGAATGATGAAATGCATTGACATAGATTTGGGTTTTTATTACCTTACCTTTAAGGAATATGTATTCAAAGAAATGTCTCTCATACGCGTTGCTGTTTAATCGAGTTGTGTAAACACTTAACATCTTTTTTTTTTAAACAACAAAAGAACAAAGTGAGACATGCTGATATCATCATATGAACCCACAGGTGAAGCTGCAGGCTTGGCTCTGGGTCTGGTCATGCTGGGCTCCAAGTCAGCTCAGGCCATCGAGGACATGGTGGGCTATGCTCAGGAGACACAGCACGAGAAGATCTTGCGTGGCCTGGCGGTGGGAATCGCTCTGGTCATGTATGGACGCATGGAGGAGGCTGATGCCCTCATTGAAAGCCTCTGCAGAGACAAGGTACAAGCAAATCATGCACACCATGAGGTCAGAAATGCGATATCCCCCCAAAACGATGATGAAGACTGTAGTATTTTAACATAGGTGCAGCTTATGCATATATGGATGTGTGACAGAAAAACCTATATAAAGAAGCCTCGTAAGGTTTTTTGGCAACCAAAAGCCACAAGAACAGCTTTATTGTGCCTTGGCATCGATTGTGCAAGTTTCTGGAACTCTACCAGAGAGATGTAAAACCATTGTGCCAAAAAAATATTCCTTCATTTGGTGCTTTGATGTTGCTGATGGAGAGGCTGTCTTTGATCCAAAATCTCCGATAGAGACCTGGTGACTGTCAAGGATATAGATTAAAATTCACATCAATTATTTACTCTTCAAACCATTCAGTGACTCCTTTTGCTGTATGGAAGGAATATGCACACAGAGCGGGCAAATAAGGAGACAGACAGGGCTGCTCTAAGGTTTATGGATTTTGTTTTGGATGCACTGACATATCCCACTGGGATATACCCTGGTATGCCAAATGACCACTGGCTGTCCTGCTCGCTAGACCTTCCACACATACTGCCAACTTGTTTAAAGAGTTGGGTGTACACAATAGACAGCATTGTGCTAAGAATATAGGTAGACTGACTTCTCAGAATTAATTAATTACATGAGGATGAATTTTGTACAGAGATGTTCTTGACACTGAGCATTTGTGAGCTCTGGATTGCTTGTATTCAGGAATTCAGCCAGCCGTCTTCTTTGTGGGGAAAAAGCTAACAACAGTCCCTGCATGTTTGGATTCAGAGTGTGCAAGTAGAGGAGGGGCTGTTCCTCGACAACTCTGTGTTTGTGTGAGAGAAGGGCGAGGAGGGACTGAGCAAGTTCATGCGATGCACACAGCTCTACAATGAAACAAGATTTTGGCCATTTTAGGTGTGAAAAATTGAAAATCAGTATGTGGCAGTCAGTGTTGATATTATGGTTGACTGACACAAATATATCAGTGTGTGAGGAAGCATTGCATCAGGATAAAAATGTGTCACCATAGGATAGACGTGGCCACTCAGAACAACTTTGTAGTGATTTACAGTGATCTTTTGACTTTAAGGGAATAAATGGAGCCAAACTATGCCAGCAAAATGCTCCAGCAAGTCACCGAAGCCCCTCACTTTAGGGGCAAATATTCTGTTGTTTTTTTTTCCCTTCAGTTTGTCACCTCTTTGTACTAAACCTAAACATATGAACCAACACACGTTTGTTTAATCCATCATAGGTTAAAAAGTCAATGTGCAGCCTATAATTCATTGCTCTCTTAAAGCTTGTTGTTGCAATGCATAGATGTTTAATTTAGTGAGTCCTGTATGCACCCATTCAACCCCAGTTGTGTGTATTTTTATGTCACGTTTGGGGCTCTTCCTCTGTATTGTGTGCCAGGAATTCTTCTATAAGAACTGGATGGGGAAAATGACTCAAACCGTGTTGATCTTATATGTGCAACCAGACAAAGTCTTTCAGCTCTGCTTTCTTTCACTGTCTATAATAGGACCCCATCCTGCGACGCTCTGGTATGTACACTGTGGGAATGGCCTACTGCGGATCCGGGAACAACAAGGCCATTCGACGCCTGCTACATGTCGCTGTGAGTGTTTCCTTTTGCTCTTGTTTGCAGAGCTTTTATGAAGGGAGGTGAGGTTTATCATGCTGGCAGTGAAGCAGAAGCCAGGATCCCGGACTGCACAACTGATGCTACTTATTTAGGTGTCATATTTATGATTGTTTAATTTGTGCTGAGAGTAAATTATTTGATGAGGCATTAATTATTAAACTAACATTTCACTTGCTCCAGACGCTTTGGTAGTGCTCAATTCAGCTAGGACAGACAGCTATTAGTCCTGCTCACGGCATTATGAAAATCACCTGTATACATTTTCTGGGTTAATCTTGCACAACTTTATTTTAAAATATAAGGGTCAAAGTGGAAGTTTAGGACACAGCAAAGAATATGCAATAGCCAATGGCAACTTTGGCAAACAGCATTTTGCAGAAGTGTGAACAACTTGTTGTCCTGTAGGTGGCACCTTGTGCAAGCTAATGTTGTTAGAGGGTGTGATAGTGAAGCCTCGTTCACTTACAGAGAGACATACGGGAGCTGCATCATTAATTAATTTCAGTCTTAGTATCAGCTTTACTTATTTACTTGCTTTGCTTGTCTTAATTAAGGTGAGTGATGTGAATGATGACGTCAGACGTGCTGCTGTCGAATCTATTGGCTTCATCCTGTTCAGGTAGGATCCAGATCTTTCAGCTATCAACACCCTGTTTATTTATTTACTTACATGCACCAAAGGCATGTCTGCACCTATGACACATCACTGTTTATACACATACAAAATGACACATAATTTGGCTTTATTTATGGGGTTTTTTTTGCCTTACATTGCCCTAATTTTTAGTTTTGCATAAATGATGAGCTATATTATTGTGATATAACAATTAAGACGCCCAATTTCCAGTAGTTTCCTGGTTTTTATGGAAGAAGTTCCTCCGTTAGAGAGAGCTAGAGGCTCTTGTCATTGTCACTCACACATTCTTCTCTCTAGCTATTCTTTGGGATTCATCACTCTTAAATAGATGTGAATGTACCCATCAGACACCAGAGCAGTGTTAAACAGATGGCCTAGCCAGCGCACAAATATCAGTGTCCATTTTTAAGCCCAAAAAAGGCTACGCGATATTCTGTGGGATCAATTGGCTGCTAGATAAACCTTGTGTAAATCATCCCTTTGTTTAGAAAGACTTCTGAACCAGAACAATTTAGTTTGCCTACTCTTGTCCAACTTCCAGTCCTAATGGGTCAAGGATAACTCCTGCATCTCCTCCCCCCCAACGTGCACACAAAGACACACGGAGGACAGTTTCAAGTTCGAATATCTTGTGTTTCTGCTTTTCATACTAATTCAACAAAGTTCCTGTTTCTTAGCAGTGATACAGAGTTCAGCGGTCTTTGCAGAAATTAAATGATGACACACAATTTGCATGAAAAGCTAGTGGAGCCTTTTACAGATCTCACATTTTTGGTCAATTGTGATTATTTTTTTGATAATAGGGTTGACTGTAACCTGGTTAGGCTTTTATGTGTTTGGATGTCTGCGGTGTTGTTGCTTGTCAAATTGCAATAATAAGATGTATCTCTTTAGCTCAAAAACAAAGAAATTGCTGCAGAATACACTTGAGCAGTGAAAGAACATTTTCTTTAAGGTTGGCAACACAGAAAGTATTTTATTGAACACATTTAGGTTTCCATTGAATCTAGATTGAGTTCTTTCTTATATACAGTCTTTCATTCGGAAACCGTTTTAAACATGTCAAAACAGCAGGCTGCAGCACACATACAAGAGTGCTTTCCAAACGTCCAGCAAGTACAAATACAAGTTTCATTTCAAGAGTGCAATGCATTTACAAGTCTGTCTGCAGAAGAGAGTTGTGGTCTTCTTAGCAAAATGTAACCATGTGGTCTGAGATGGTTTACAGCGTATTTTTAGGCCAAGTTGAAAGGATCAGCAGAGGAATATATTATGTACTGCATTCAGAGTGTTTCCAGGTTGTCATAATGTCTGGTGGCCTGAACTTTGTTGAATTACAACTTGTGTTCTTTTCTGAAGTAGACCTGTTACAGGTTATCTTAAAGTTATCTGATACAATTCAAGGACTCAAAAACTCTTGGTGTATGCTATGAACAGCCTCGCTGAGAATTCACATTGTTAATATAGCTTGCCTTTAGGCCTGTTGAGTTAAATTTGATCTTATACTGTACAGTCACATGTTTAACTGAGGGGTGGGATTTGCGTCTGAAAGGTAGCATTTTCGTTTCCAAATGATGCCAGTGAAAATACAGCCATGTTTTGCTTTAAAATTATAGATGTAAACAAACAGCAGTAGCATCAGATAACAGCAGGTGAGCTTTTGCTGTGCAATAAGTCCTGCCATCAAATGATTTGTGTATCAAATGGAGACTCTCTGGCATTTTGAATATATTACATATGGGGCAAGCCTTTGTCTTTTAAAGAGATGAAAATTTTGCACCATAAATCTGATCCTCTTCAAGTGCTCCCTTTAGTTGGATGTATTTGTCTGGTGTCTCTATACGCAGCTAACATGCTCCTGCTGCTTACCATCATCATTTTCAGTCAGAAGTATAGTGTCTAACAAAACTCCACTGGATGACTGTGCAGGTGCTTGCCGACACCTCAGTGGACTTTGGTAGCTCACTGATCCGATGCCATTCTTCACTCCTCGCTTCATGAACAGTTTAGAGTTCTCTGCCATGGAAGATCTGAATGACATCCTTGTAAGGGTCCAGTCTGTATTTGGTGTCTTTGGAAGTTGTCCTGCCCCATTACTCGAACAGTTTTTGTAGTTACAGGTGATATACCGTGCAAACGCCTCCCTGAAAGTTTTGTTGAATAGTGTGTAGACCAATGGGTTAATGCCTGATGACACATAACCCACCCAAACGAAGATCTCCATGAGGCGGGAAATTACGTTAGCATCACAACTCTTGCATAGCACAGAGGTGATGTTTGTAATGAAGAAAGGGCACCACATGACAACAAACAGGAGGAAGACTATGCCTAGCACTTTTGAGGCACGTTGCTCATTGCTCAGAGTCTGCATTGACTTCTTGCCCATTGTTGACATCCTGCGAAAAGAAATTTCCTCTCCTGTAGGAGCGTTCGTTGTGCCTGCGTTTGGTTTTTCTTGCATCCTGGGAAGTCTACTGTCCAATGTGTTCCTTTGCTCACCTTGAGGTGAAGTCACGGTCTGTTCCCTTTGGAAAACTGTGGAGACTGTCGAGCAGCTAAAGCGCTGAGTCACCTTTGACCTGAGCAAATAAACCTTCTTGCGCAACACTTGGACAGTTAGTAGGTAGATCACCATCATGATAGTCAAAGGGAGGAAGAATGCTGCCAAGGAGCCATACATGATAAAATCCCCGAAGGTGTCCGTTTTCAGCAGGCAAGTGTGATTACTGTTGAAGGTGATGTTGTTGGGAAGGGGGTAGTTCTGTAGCCCCCTAATTGGAATCAGGATTGCGATACCTGAAAAATGACAAGAACAGTTAATACTGGCAAGCATTGGCATTTTTTTATTTTATAACATTGAACTGAGAAATGAATTCTAGAATTTTTTTTTGCGATTTGTTACCACTAGCTACTGTAATTTTTCTTTTTCTCACTGGGAAATCGGTTGAATTTTTCGTTCCATAAGTATAGTGGTAGAAATGGAAGAATATTTATGTTAAATGAAAGGGTAGTTTGGGATTTAGGGGAATCTATACACAGAAATACAATGTAGTATTCATGATTGTGTTCTCTTTAGTGTATAACCTGTACTTCAGAGTCACTGTGTTTATCTTATGCCCCTCATACCTACATATGGAGCAAGTCCTCCTCTTTAGAGCCTGCCATGTTCCTACGGTAGCTCAGAATGAACGAATCAAACACTGGTTCTAGAGAGGGCCTTTTGTGTTATGTTGAAGTGAAGGCCATCATAGATTCTCCCACACACTTGGAGAGGGCGGGTGGTGGAGGGGCTTTACTGCAGTATGTAGCCTCACAGTAAATCGTACACACTGAACCTTTAAGCTGCTGGTGTTTTGTCATGTTTGCTGGTGAACATGTTTTGCTATCATACTATTTGATGTGAGTGTTTTGTTTTTGTTGAAACCTTTGGTGGCCCAAAAACACTGGACTCCACTCTCATGACTGTCAGTAATTGTGATAGTACCATCCCATCCCTTTCCCCTAAATGTCATAGCTGGTTGGTTGCTGTTTATACAGTATTTCTTTTTATTGCATCCGGCAAATGTTACTGTGTCTATGAACTGCTATGCATCTTATGCCAAGCTGTTGGAAGGCTGAGAAATGACTTACACAAGGTAAAGACTGCTACAGTGCTCTGTAAAAACTGTAAAAAAGGTTACAAAAAGTTGAACTGATGTGCTTACAAATGGATATGATCCACACCAGTGCAATCTTGACCAATGCTTTGGCTCTGGATTTGTACTGGCTGTGTTGGATTGGCTTCTTGATGGCAATGTACCGATCCAGTGAAATGGCACAGAGGTGCATGATGGATGCAGTAGAAAACAGCACATCGAGGAAGAGCCAGATTGGACAGAGGAACTCCGGAAGAGGCCAATCAGAGTCTAAAGAGAAGATGAGACAGAAATTAATAGAGGAAGACGATAAACTTTTGGAAACAGTGTCTCTGCAATTAGTAGCTAATTTAATGTACTTGTGGTACAACTCATTTTCATTCCAAAAGGAGCTTGGTCTTACTACCAGTTATGGGAGATATACCACAGTGGCAAAGGATTAGAAGTAGCACTCATGCAAAAGATTGGTGTTTGTTTATCTCTGAGGAACGACTTTACTGGAAAGGGAGGGTTCACAGACTGTTTATGGAGCTGAAAGCTCTGTATGTAGATGTGGTGGAGACTATGCTTAACGGTAGTGTTTATTTTCAGTTCCAGGCATAAAACGGGCTAGTAATTGCTCTGGCTTTTGTCTCATCACCTATTAACACTGCAAAAGACTATTGTTGGAGATATTCCTTTACGTAATTGTCTTTTCTTCTGCCCCCCTCCCCTCTTTTACTTGCAGTTTTTTCTTGTTGCACTTAAGGGAAGTTTGGAGTCATAGTTTGGATTAGATTATATCTGGAGGGTTTGTTCTCTGACTAATACATAACTTGTTCTCAGAGTAAACCTTCTGTACCTCTTCTGCGAAGTGTTAATTCCTATGCCAAACTCAATAAACAGAGCGACTGTATTAGTTTTATAATGTTCATAAAACATTTTGTCCTATACCATAGCTCTTTAAATAGTTATATAATATTGTTGTGGTTTTATAGCTTGCCTTTGAAAATTTCCTCGTTTCACAAAATGCCAGCTCATATAGTTTTATGGAGGGTAATTGATATCCTGCAGTTTCTGGTTACACAAGGCTGTGCTCAGTTACTTGCATAGTAACTTGTCTTACTGCAGTATTATGTTATTTTCTTTTGTACAAGCATTAAAAAATGCCCTCATTTCATATTTTTAGAATTTTGGTAACTTGGCTCTAGTTTAGGTGAATAAAGACAATTGCATTTTAAAAGGACAACAGCAAAAAGACTGTATCTCCATCTTATTTTGAGCAATGTCACATTCGTCAGAATGAAACTTAAGTATGTGGACAAGGTTTAGCTATGACAGACGTTTAAATCACATCCATAGACGTGATTGATAACTAAAAGTAGATGAGGCTTAATAATTACTCTGACCCAATGTATAGTTGAAAAGATGTATGAGGCTTTAAAGGACCAGTTGTTAAGGCACCAGCATGGTACTGCGATGCTGTTGCAGAGCTTTGCAGATTTACATCAACCTGTAGTTGCCTGCTGCCACTTGGAGGCAGTGTAAAACATAGATGGAACAACTGAAAATGAAGATTGCTCTTGTTCGTGTTTGAGCTGCTTTTGGTCCTTTTGCTCCTGCCACATTGAAAACAGAAGTCACAGTGGAGTGGAGTGGACTGAAACCAGTCCCGCTGCATCAGCATCGCTTATAACGCATGCGTTTTTCATTACACCAAAAGGACTCTTTACCATTTGTGATTCAAGCCAACCTTTTAACCAATAAGCATTCGGTGTATGTGTTGCATCACCGCCAAGGGTAGATGGACTGTTGGCAAATTCGTCTCAATAGCCTCGATGGTGTTTGAATTCTAATGATCATTTTCTATACGGAGAGCTGCGCAATCCTATAACATGATACACGCCCAAAGTTGTATCGGTCTATGTGCTTGAGTGTATTTTTTTTTATTTTCAACTTGGGTAGTGTTGCTTACCATTGTTTCTCTCTCCTAATTACCTCAAGCCCTGCCTATTTGGGAGATTAAAGCCCAGCCCATCAAGAACTGCCCCACCGACATGACCTGCAGATACCCCTCACTGTGATCTTCTAGGTCACATCGTAAACAGCATTGGGGAGTGTGTGTGACCTTATAATAATAATACAGTTTTAGTTATTGGTGCCCTTTAAAACAATCAGGGACACGTTACTAACAATAGTCCTTAGAGTAGTTTGGTGGTGATATTGCCAGTGTAACCTGTCCTGTAGTCTGGCAGTTTTACTATCTGCTCTGTTGTTAGCTCTGCCTTGCTTCACACCAGCCTTATGTACACAGTTAACATGTATGTTTATGCCGCCATGACCTCTTCCTTCTTGTCCTCGTACTTTGAACTTCATCTCTCTAAATCGCCGTTGTTTTTTTTCTTTGTTTTTTTTTTGCTGTGACAAGGGCAGCAACTAGCCATTATTTTTAATACTTGTTCATCTGTTGATTTTTTTCTTGAATAATTTACTAGTTGTTTAGTATATGCTATACCAGAAAATGTTGACCAGTGTTTCCCAAAACCCAAGATAATGTCCTTGAATGTCTTATTTTGTCCATAACCCAAACATAATCAGTTTACGGGAGAGAAGTAAAGAAAACATCAAATATTCTTATGTAGAAGCTAAAGCCTGAGAATTGTACTTTTTTCCCCTTAAAAAATTAAACTGATTATGCAATTATCAAAATAGTTGGTGGTTAAATTGCTGACAACTACTCGATTAATCGTTGCAGATCTTATTGTAGGCCAGTAATGCTGTGAACTCTGTGTATTTTAATTGGCACAGTGCTTGCACACATTTTCATCTTACTGCATTGAATCTCAGGACATTTTGTTTAGAATATATTTAAATAGCTTCACAAGGCCTTATATATATATAAATAAGTAAATAAGTGATTGTTCAAAGATGTCCATGAGCTCTGGTTTCTTTTAGGTTTTCAAGCTTTCTGTTTTTTGATATTATACCGGGTAACTTTCGGTCTGTCAACCATCTCAGCCTCTTCATTTGAAACAACTTGAAAGGCGGAAAGCTTTTAGCTTCTTTTAAACACACTTTGTTTTCTGGCCGAAGTAATAATATGAATAAGTGTTATTATAAGGAGTTGTTAAACTAAACAGTTGATCATTCACTTATATAACTCTTAGGTTAAATAAATTTACTGTAATTTCAAAACCCTGCCAGCTTTGATTCTCTTTTACAGCAACCCAATCTTAACGTGAACAGGATGCATGCAAATAGCTTTTTAAAAAAATCTTATTACAAAAGTAGATGGAAAAGTACATTTATTCTGAGGCTTTTATCTTATGATTAGAGAGATGAAAGCAGCACTTATGACCACTCTGACTTGTGTGGTTCCTTTAGTGTAACACATTCAGTTCCCATGCAAAACATAGTGTTTGGAAAAGAAAACACTACAAATAGCCTTGTGCTACACTATACTTTTGCACGTGTAAAACATTATTATGATGTGACTCATTGTCCTCTAATTGAATTAATGGAGACTTGGGGATGTCTGAATTTTGTAGCTGTATTAAAATACAGAGAATAGAATTCTAAATCAGTTCCTATGCAGCTGTGTTTACACAACACTGTAACTGGAATTATAATAATTTAGCATATCTCTCCAGAGGTAATGGTCCTCTAGCACAATAGTTCAGTCCCAGCTGTGCAGCTGCTACCACAGCAAAACCAGAGGAGGAAGCAGTGTGTTTATTGTCCACTATCGCTTGTTATATTTCATCGTATTTCATCAAGAATAATTTGTTTAGAGATGGTCGAGTATTCCTCATAAACTATTTTTACCCTCCATTGCTACTGTAGGTTTGCTGCTTGTTTTTGTAGATTATTAAAGCTACCAAAGCTTAAGTACAAATGAATGATGAATTGGTGGAACTCTTTGGAGGATTTACATGCTCACTCCTACATTCACTTTAAAATAGTTTATGAGGTTTTTCAGATCTTTTACCAAAGTTTGTTTATTATTAGCCAGCCCATGGTGTTTACAAACAGTTCAGCTGTAGCAAAGTGTCACAAAAATGTCTGAGATTTATGTTACATTTCCTCTGGATTGTGTTTAAAAAAAAAAAAGATCTGGACATTGAGGACAAGGACATAATTCTCTTGACACTATCTAATATTGCTTTGGTATTGCACAGGTTATCCTGTTTCCAACACAAGGCCCCATGCTAAACTTACTATAGAGAACAGTGATGAGCGCAATGGGCATCACCAGGACTCCCACCAGCAGATCAGCTACAGCAAGTGACATCAGGAAGTAGTTGGTGGCATTCTGCAGCTTTCTTTCAAGCGAGACAGCAAGGATGACCAGAATGTTTCCTCCAATAGTGGGGATGATGACCATGACAATGAGCAGGGCCGCCCATTTCAGCTGAATCTCAGGCGTTTCACCCGCATGTGAGCTGTTGGCCGCAGGTTGTGCCACGACTGGCTGAGACATGGTGCTGCTGAGATTACAGCGGGCCTGAGCGTGGGTCGGGGCTCTGATCTTTCTGGTGTTGGACACTCGGTCAGCATGGTCACTGGGTCCCACAGGCAAGGGCACAGGGTAGGGTGGGGCGGCTCGAGCTCAGTGCACAAGAGGCTTCATGCCTTGCGCAGTGTGCAGACCAAAAGCAATAGCTGACTATCGGTCGAGGGTCTACTTGTTGAAGAGGACAAAAAAATAGCAGGTCCAATGCAATAAACTCCAATTCTGGCGATAATCCCACTACGATTAGTACTTCCACAGTGAGATGTTTGCAGGGATCCTCATTTTCCAAGGCAGCTAATAGTCTTGTCATCCACTGCCTCCACTTGAAAGAAGAAAAACGTTTGTTAAAAGGGACAGCTTGTTACCCATTTGCTTTAATTTGTCTGACTGATGGCATAATTACGAGACATTAATGATAACAAATGATGAGGGTCTTTCCTGATAATTGACACTCACTGTTTCCACATTATGTCAAAGAAATGAACCAAACTGGAAAACATGAAGAAAAATAGCTTCCAAGCTTTTTTTCATTGCTTTTGTGGTGCAGTTTATAATAATTGTAAAATAAATGTAGCAAAGGGTGGTCTAGCATAGCAAATCCCTTAATTTATAAGTTTACACAAATTAACAACTTGATGTATTTAATCAAAAGTAGTATATGAATGTGTAGGTTTTTGAGATATAGAAATAAAATGCAGTGCAAATTAGTATTATCATGAGCTTGCAAAGGTTTCCTACCTGCTCCCCAAGGTAATATTTCTCGTACTTCTTTGCCGATCTTCTTTGGTGTTTAAACTCTTGAAATATTTTTCCAAGTCAGTACGTCTTACCTCTCGTGAATGCAAAAGTGACGTTCTCACTCAGTGCGTTTCAATCTTTGCACACCTTGTGGTATAACATCCTTTTTAACGTCCCCTATGTCATCCTTATATTTCCACCCTCCCTTAATAAGAGCGCTGCTGAGACTGCCCTCCCTCAGCTGCAAAACTTAAATCTGTCGTAGTCTGAAGCAGTCCATGATGTGGAATTTGCTTTGCTCCCACATGTTGGAGGAACCCCCAGTCTTGCTTCGCATCACCTACCGCGATCACAGGTTTAAAACTTTCAGATGTTGTGGTTCCTCTGCCTCTCTCCCATTCCCACTCGCTGCCTCTCGCTCGCAGCCTGTGATCAGATCACACCCTCTGCCGTCTCGTTCGCTCTCTCACTCCTCCCCTCCCTCCCCCTCCGTCTTGCAAGTGAGTCAGACTCTATACAAAACAGATGAATGTCTTTGTGCTGGCAACATGCCAGTGGTTCTGGGAGGTAATTTCCTTCAACACAGCCGTCCCACTGTTTATATTTGTCACTTTCTGTTCTCTCCTCCATTGGAAGCAAGCGGCGACGGGGGAGGTAGGAGTGGTGTATGCGGAGAAGCCTCTTTGGTGGTGGTGGATGCTTAAAAAATGTACTGCATAGCTTTCCCCTTTAGTCCCCAGTGAGCTCACACTTTCAGGCAAAGTAAGTCAGTCAAATACAGTCGTATTATCTTGATAGATACACCATTGGGTCTGGCAGTAAAAGTTAAAAGATCCGATTTTTTGTATTTCATTCAGGACGCCTATATCCACATAAGATAATTTGTTCTGTTTATCTTCCTTCGCTCTTCCTTTTCAAATGGGTTTGGTTTAGTATCTTCCGTCCCAGGGGAAGTGTTAAATTGTGACAGCAGTCAGAAGAAAGCAAGTTTCTGAACATTCACGTCTAGTTTTAACAACCAAACTTTAAGCACAGTGATTACAGGAAAACATCGGACTTCACCTTCACCTATTTGCATAATACTTTGAAGGAAGTAAGCAGCTGGTGCGCTGACTTCTATTATGTTAGATTCATTTTCAGAATGACATCCAATTTTGCAAGTTCAGACTGCAACTTAACAAAACATCTGAGTAAGTGTTGTATAATGTGTAAGTTATGTTCTGAGAAATATGCAATATGGCATAATTTAAGAATTCCACCGTGCACTTTATACTATGAGGTCATTGTTTCATTAATTTACATTTTGGCAGTGGCTCATCACTTACAATTATGGCAATATACCGTACTCACCCATAGTGTCAAACCATCTTTCTCTTAATGATTAGCACATTCGATGCCTTTTTTTTTCTTTGTTTACCCCTTTGCGAGACATTGGTTGAATTTTTAATTAAATTTAAGTGTCAACAGTAAACACCACACAGCTTCTTGGCTTGTCTAATATTAACATTGTCCAGGTGTTTTCATGATGTGTTTGGGTGACTGGTTGTAACAGACAGGAAGCAAGCTAATGAGATCTGCTTTCTTACAGTGAATGTGCATTATGCAACAGACAGACACATTTCATGTGGCAGAGTGCGGCTATAATTTGTTTGCTTCTTTCTCAACCTTTCAATGGCCGTGTTGCTGCCCAGATCATCACATGGGACCTGTAGCGAGAGGGAGTCATTAAGTTGTAGCTGTATCACTCACAGCATAATGCAATCTGTGGTGCATGCATTAATAGTCATACAGTACATTAACCAGACAAGTAAAAGCCTTGTGCGTTTCTGTAACATTTAAGTAAATGTGTGTTTTCAATCCATTGTTAGTGTTTTATTTAATCAGCTTCTTGGGTGAGTCTCTTTTTTTCTTAACTTTTTTTCCCTTCTATCTTTTGGGTTTCAGTTCATTTGGAGGTTTATAGGTCCATCACACATTAATGGAATATTCCAGTAACTCTAAATACAGACACCATTGCTTCAGTGCTTTTTCATACGAAACAAATGCTTGGTATCGATTTCTTCTCTGAATCTGAGTTCTATTTTGATTGTGGTTGAAAGTAATTAGCCTGTCTTTTACTTTGAAAAGGTTGCAAAGGCTTTAGATGAAACAATTTTAAAAACCCATGCCGAAGGTTTCTCAGTTTTGCCTCAAGGGACTTTAGTCTTCAATCGATTCCAAAATTTATCTTAAAATAGGTCTGGGTGTCTAACTATTACTAAAGCTCCTACGCTTTAGATGGCATAGTTCATACCTCTTTTTATAATGGACAGACAGTCTCCCGTGTTTTTGCTGTAAATGCAAGTGTTGAAGAATGAGGAACCTTGACTCACCACCTACATGTTGATCAGCTTTATTAAAGACGTCTGATATCGCAAATTTGTCCCTGAGGACTTTGCGATCTGGTCTTTATCCAAGTATGGATTGAAAGGGCATCGTCAGTCTACCAGAATAGTATAAACTCCATCCCTGTAGGCGAAACTGAAAGGTGATCTAGATCTCCCAGTGATTGCCATTTGTGATCTTGTTAATTCCTCCTGTAGTGGCTGAGCTGAGCTTCTAATTCCAAACAGGCCAGTGGAGATTACCCAGTGCGAACATGCCTCTGTATTAGGGGCTAAACAAAATGTGTGAACCGTTACACTTATTTAGATATAATATTCAGGACTATATTGAGGCTGTTTATTAGTTCCAATCAGATAGTTTCCTCCCATCCGAGTTATTTTCGTTTCTCCTCCATATATGCATTTGAGTCTTCAGTGTTGAATGAAAACAGAGATTTAAACATCTTGGCCACATGTACTGTTGTGGCATCAATAAAAAGTAGCTATAGCTCACATAATGATGTCGTTTTATTTATTGATTTTTTTTTCTCCCCCCAGTTTCTTGTTATACCGGATTTTAATAGTGATGGGAAGTTCGGCTCTTTTCAAAGAGCCGGCTCTTTCAGCCCCCAAACGACTCTTGATTTATAATCTGTAGACTCATATTTTAGCCTAACTTGGCAAATATGAATGATTTGTGTGTTGATAAGCCCTTTTGAATGTAGTGCTTTTATGAGAAGCCTTATAACGGCCTAATTTTGTATATTTTTATTTTACAAAAGCAGGCATTCTTACTTTTGTTTAATATTTTAATCAAACTTTTAATCTTTTTTTTTTTTTTTTTTTAACATGAAAACAAATGAACAAAACACTGCAAACAAACCCACAGAACAGAACAAAAACAGAACAGAGACAGAACAAAACTCCATTCAAACACCAAGCAGTATGTCCTTAGTGCAGGTTTGCATTCAAAAAAAATTTAATGTCTCAGCTTGGCTGGACTGATGCGGTTTTTCCTCTTGGTTATTATCTGCCCTGTTTGTGAGAAGACTCTCTCAGAGGGAACAGATGTTGCCACAGTACACAGTCTCCCCTCCATCACCTTCACCAGGTGTGGAAAGACTGAGGCCTTGGCCTGCCACCAGCTCAGTGGGTCTTCTGCTCATTGGATGAGGGGCTCCTCAAGATATAACATCAGCTATGGCACTAAATCCTCACATGTGATTGGCCACAAGGCCGCCATGCTGCCAATCAAAACAAAGTTCTGCCATGACCTGAGCTGAGCCACTGAGCAGCGGGAAAAAAAAAAAAAAAAAAGTCGGGAGCCGGCTCTCACTCGATGGGAGTCGGCTCTTCTGATTCACCTAAAAGCATTGGCTCTTAGAGCTGATGTTTTTGAGCATGACACATCACTAGATTTTAACCATCTATTAGATCATGTAGCAAGTACAGTTATTTGCCTTGCTGAAGCTGCCACTTTATTTTATTCATAAACTGACAATCATGTAAAGTGCCTTTTTTGCTAATGCTTGTGTGCACATTTTATGTTCCCTGCCAGTGTTACATTGTTTCAGTGAGCAAACACAAATACAACCAGCTAGTTTAAAACCTGAGGGATAAACATCCTTGTGATGCTTCTCTTGTCGTCTTTGTTCCAACGATCACTGAGCTTTGAATTCTTTTTAGGTGTTGGAAACAGATGGTTTCTTAACTGGACCTATAAAACTCTAAAGAAACATTGTCTGTTTCCTCATTTTTAATAACTTCCAGCATCCATTTGAGCCAGACTGAATCGACACTTGAAGGCACAGAGTAATCTCAGCAATAGGCTCATCTGACAGGCCCAGACATGGCTGGTGTTATCACGCCACCTTTCATGCACAAATTATGAGATAAGATTCTTGGGGAAAAGCAGCAGGTTACTGTAACTCCATGCATGTTTTTCTTCTTTCCTTTCAAATCAAACATCTCTTTTGGAACAATTCTAAACAACTCACAACACTTTTTTTTTTATGGCAATTGCACAATTGTAATTGTTTGTCTCTGACTTCACTCCTAAATTTTGTGGGTCTTTGTTGAAATCCGGATATCACCACTTGGCATTGACAGGATTCAACACTGCTGTTGACCTGCCAGGCTGCGGCTGTGTCTTTTATGTATAAGTGTTAAGTGTTTTATTGTGACCGAGGAGCAAACCCTGCAATGCAGTTTAAATGTGAAGAAGTGTTTCTTCCCTACTTCAGTCCACTCATTCAGCTCCGTCACATTCACTTGAAGTACCTCATAATTGTGTGGTTCTTATCTTTGCAACCCTTTGACTCATTACACTTAGTCAGCAGTCTGCATAGTGTTGTAGTCTTTTGCAGATGTTCCTCTTTTGCTGCTACAGCCCCACAGTCGTTACTGCTTCAGTTAAAAACGTTTAGTCCTTCTTTGAATATTTCTTTTAGTATCCCTTAATATGCACTTCATTCGCAAGAATTCAGTTTATACAAGAGGTGGAAAGACATAACATAGAGCCACAGCATTTGCAATTATATCTTGAGCCAAAGATTTAGCTTAAAAGGTTTGGCTCCATTACTTCTGTTCTCTCCAACAGCACCACTGTGACAAAATGCATAAGGACTTGGAGACTTTTCAGAGACATAAATCAGAGCCCTGCATTTCATATCCACACACTTTTAAGCTTTCTGTTCTCTCTCTTTCTCCCTTCGCTTTGGCTTATCCAAGATCTTTTTCACTGACTCATACAGTTCACCTTTGACACTGATATCACAAAAGCACACTCTGAATACATTATGGAGAACGCAACTATGTTATACCGATTAATGCGTCCGAGTTAGTCTCAGCTCATTCTACCATGTTGTACAAA